TACGCCCAGTCGTCTTATACGCCGGAAAATACGGTAGTTGAAAGCATGTCCTGCCTTTTAATTCATCTAAACAGGTACAAACGTATAGATAAGAAAGGAAAAATCAGAAAATAACCTGATCACATCTTTTAGTCTTCTGTCTCAGTCCTTCATAGTCTAGCAATGTCTAATCCTGGCTTTCTCACTGTCCAGAACTGCATCAGCCTGGCAGTTTTTGAGATCTAATTACCTCCCTCTGCTGGACAACATCCCCAACGTGCCCCTCAGCTACTAGGTAAAGGTGTAACCTTGCAGTACTATATTGACAAAGGAGTGTGCAGACACTTCTTATCTTAGGAAATATATTAACCTCCTTTTTCCTCAGCAAACAGGTGTGGTTTCTGTCTTCTGTCTTCTCCAAGGATAATTTCAAAAGCTTCTTTGAACTTGTTGAGGTGTCTGCTAATTATGCACATCTGGTCTTAGCTTAGTCATTGCTCAGAGTAAAGATAAATTTGTGTTACTATTATTATTTTATAGTTATGTTATTGTAACATTAAGAGACCTTAGAATGGGCACTGTATATAGATAAATATGAATACATGCTCCTTGACCTGCAGAGTTTACAGTGTAAGAAGACAAGTAACCTGCTGTATGAAAGTATTCAATCAAATATATATATTTATAGACATATTGTACATATATTTGTAACTTTTAATTATTATAAACCAAGTGTCAACTACCCCTTTCTGCTCCTGTGTAGCGTGATATATTTTTGTTTGTTCCAGCCTTAAATTAGGCCGTAAGTAATTCTTGATATCTCAGCCCAAATTAGCTTTCTCTTCCCCGAGTGTGACCGTCTTTTCTAGCTGAAATCCTTTTTGGATGTTAATTTAGTTTCCATTTACTTGACTCATGAGGCCCGAATCCCCACTACCTGACACGCTGTTTAATTATATATACCTGTAAAACAGTGATGAAAACTCTCTGCTCTCTTTTTTTACTGGTTCCGACCAACTCAATAAAGAGTGGATGTAATATGCTTCTATTCTGATAGAACAATGCTTTAGACTTTCTTTGTAAAGATGTAAAAGACTGCATCAGGTACCAAGTGAAAGGTTTTGTTTTGTTTTGTTTTGTTTTAAGTCTAATGGATGTTTATTGTGAATTCTCAGATTCCAGTGGCTGAACGCATAGGCTCTTTAACAAAGGCTTCCTTTATTTAAAAGGTGAATTAGTTATTGAAGTTAAACAAAAAACAAAAGGTGAAATTCTGTGCTATGCCTCTAAGAGGCACAGCTTAAAATTCACAGCCCAGTGGGAGGAGGATCTAAAAATGTCTTTTGGAGGAGCCAGTCTCACCAGTTTCTAGAATTGCTCTGTCTAGTCTAACAGTTCTCATTACTACTCTGACACTATTCTGTTTCCAGACAATATTAACTGCATTAATTAAAATAGCTGCAGTTTAGAAAATTAGTTGCAACAATGTATCATATCTTGTCTCTTCCCAGGCATTTATGGATGAAAAAAACACAGTGTCTCACCTGGAGTGCAGATTTGTCACTTGAGTGCAGTGGAGTATCCTGGCAGGCTGCGTGCGGCCCGCAGATTGTCCACCACTGCTCTAGGTCATCACATCCATGTCTAAATCTTAACAATTCCCTCTGCATAACATCTCTAAGATACAGCCTTTCCTTTCCATCCACCATCATAGCTAAAACTCACATCCAGGCTCTCATCATTCCACATCTCAATTACTGCACCATCCTTTTGTTTGGCTTTGACAAATGCAATCTTGCTCTACTCATATCCATTCAGAATACTGCTGCAAAGATAATTTCCTAGCACTATTGTTCTGAAAATGTTTCCCCTTTCTGCTTCCCTCCACTGGCTCCCCCTTCTCTAGTGCATCAGACATAAGCTACTTGTCCTCATGGGCGGCATGGTGCATAGGCTGGGGAAGGCTATGCCTCCACAAACAGCCCGGCGTGGCTCTGCCCACCCTCCTCCCTGAAGCCCTGCTTGCCCTTCCCCCTTGGCCCCAGCCCAGGCAGGCTGCTCCTCTTCAGGGAAGTCTGCTGGGGCTAGGGCGGTTGAGACTTGGGGTGGCTCGGGCTGCCCAGCGCAGGGGGGCCCTGGGTGCTGGGGCTGCACCACCCGGCACTGGGGTGCAGTGGACTGGAGGGGGACTGGAGGCACTGGGGCTGCCTGCCCTGTGCTTGGGGGGAACAGGGAGGGGCATGCCATTCACCCACCCTGTGCTCGGGGGCTGGGGCGGGCCATGTGCTTCCCATCCGCCCTGCCCTCGGAGGCCGGGGGGGGCACATGCCACCCACCCACCATGCGCTCGGGGCAGGGGCTGCATGCCGCCGACCCTGTGCTCGCGGGCCACTGCACACCACCCACCCAGCACTCTGGGACTGGGGTGGGAGGGGGGCTAGTGGCCACAGGGAATGGGGGGCTCCGGCGGGGGAAGGAGGGTGGGTCCTCGGGTGGGGCTGGCTAGGGGAGGCTAGTCGGCAATTCACCCACCACCCATGATTGTCCTCATTTTCCAAATCCTTCATGGCCTACTCCAGCCTACCTAACATCTTTCATTCACTATTGAGAAGCCAACTCTCACCTCTGATTGGCCCAAAATACTGGTCTCCATCACCTACTTATAAAAATCTGAAACAAGCACCTTCATGCTTTCTCCCATGCTTTCCCTCACACTTGGGAGAAGCTCCCCATAAATATCTGCAAAGGCACTTCATTACCCTCCTTCAAATCCCTTCTTCATACTCTCCTTTGCTGTGATGCCTACAAAAAACTTGACAAAAGACCATGGCCTATTACCACAACCAATATTGTCTCATTGTTTTCTTGTACTTCCCCATTCATCAGTCTGTATCCACTAGTTGTTGCTAGTCTCATACTTAGATTGTAAGCTCTCTTGGGCAGGGACCATATTTTTTGTTCTATGTTTGTATAGCACCTAGCACAGTGGAGTTCTGGTCCATGACTAAGGGGCTACAGTAATACAACTAATAATAATAATTAATAAAGAAGTCAAAACTGTGTGCACAGTCCAATGCCATACCAAACATCATAGCTGTAAGATTTTTTTACATTTCCTTAATCATACTTCAAATAAGATGAGGCTGCTATATAGTACTGTTTACACAACAGGGCTTATGGGTGATCAAGTCTTTCCACAGATTAATTTTTCACAGCATGTTGATTTTATAACCTACTATTACTACAAGAGAATGTCTATTATTAAAAGATAGAATTTGATTATATCACATAAATCTTGAAAGCCTGTACATTCAGATTTGGTACATCGTACAAACCTGAGAAGTATGGACTTTTAGAGAACAAATGGTTTCAGAGTAGCAGCCGTGTTAGTCTGTATCCGCAAAAAGAACAGGAGTACTTGTGGCACCTTAGAGACTAACAAATTTAGAGAACAAATGCATTTTTGAGCATTTTCAAGGTGCGGTCATGTTCTGCTTCGTGTGTGTGTGTGTGTGTGTGTGTGTGTGTGTTCCTATAAGTACTGGCCAATAGCTTGTAAGTAACCACTGTCAAAATATGTGCTAGGGACTGGTTCCAGCTTTTCAGTTTCATTATGCTATCTCCGTATATATATGTTTAAATTTAGCCAAGTTACCTTATGGCAATGTAGAACACTACATCCAGTACTTTAGGGAATATTTTGTGTTAACATCTGCAGTAAATTATTTTAATTACACTCATTCCTATGCTGTCAGATTCATAAGTCATTTTCTGAAAGTATGTTATTTTCATTTTTTTAAAAAGTTACAAAATATATAAAACATCATGCTAAAAATGTGTGTTGATCTAAACATGACTGAACAAATTCGTAGGATATCCTACAGTTACCTACAAAATAGAGAACAATTTTATACTGCAAAGGGGTCCTAACTTCTGCAAAAAATACACAAGATGGAGCTTTTTTCTGGTGTACTAGAATAATACTGCCATAACTTGCATTTTATGTGTTAGGGCTCTTATCTTTCTTATAGAAGTTAATATATGGCTTAGTGTTGTATTGTTGTAGACTCTCTGAGGCAGGAGCTGTCATTCCTTTTATGATTGTGCAGTGCCCAGCATAATGAGACTCCAATCCTGGGCACTGCTGTAATATTTATTTATTTAAATTCATATATAATAGATGGGGACCTACATAGCTAGAGGCACCTATCGTATGCTGTGTGCACCTAGCCCATAGATTAAACCACACAAAGTAAAAAAATCACTGACCAGGAATTTAACCACTATTCTATTCTATATAGGGTTTTATACCTCACTCATCACTATAACCATGTCTCAGCCTAACCGCTCTAAGTCTAAGAAAATATGGGCTTTGTAGCATGCCCAGTAAGTGAACAAACCCAGGCTCTGGCAGACCAAGGTAGGACTCAAATTCCAAAATCAAGGACCCTTCACAGAGAACACACTGCCAGCAACTCCCTCTCATTTAGGGCTCGATCTTGTGCCCATTGAGTCAATGATCTTTGCTGATCTCAACTGTGATAGTGGGTCACTAGGGGAGAGGTGAGATTATCATTTATTAAATCATAATTAATAGTAAACGTTTTGATATTTAGAAAAGTTCTTCCTGTATCTCTTGGCTCTATGGTCAAAACAAAGGGTAAAATCAGTACAAGTGAAATGCATCTGACTAAAGTTTCTGTAGCCAATTGTGAATGACAAGGATGACAAGCCTTTCTAATTGAATTCCTTCTCTTGTTAATATTTCATACAAGTGAAAACACCTTAGTGGGAGAATGAAGAAAACAAGCTAAAAACAGGAATAAGGTTGTCTATTAAGATGCAAAGATAAATACAAACTATTTGCTTCGTTCTCGCTTCTTTGAGTTACAGTTTTTCACCGTCATGGAAATGCTTTTCATCTTCCCTGAAATTCATCACAATGGCACTCAGTTGACAAATATATTCATCACAGAGGTGTATATACAAGAGATTCCTGTCTTCTGCCTCAAGCTCTTTATCTCTTAAGATGATAAAAGTATTTATCTGAGAAGAGTTTACATATATCTATGTGGCTCTAGGCATACATGAATTATTAAAGGTATTCATAAATATTTCTAATCAGAGAAAAGTCAGATTTTTAAAAAGGTGAATTTCCTTTATGAGATTGTATTTCAGTTAACAGCAGCAAGAAATTAACATAAAATGTGAGCAAATTACATTTTTCAAGAAATGTGTTTATCAGATAATGTTCTCATTTTCATTTCTCATTTTAGGAGGTAAAATATGAAAGAGGAAACAAAAAGTTTACTTACCTTTTTCTCATAGGTAGATTTCCAATTCCACTACTGAAGTGTAGTAATACTTACAGAACTAGTCCATTGGGTGCTTGCATTTCATGTGTGGGAAGTGAAGTGGCCCTCGGCAGTAGCGATTTCAGCAACCTGTAAATATATTTTAAAAAATAAAAAGTTGTAACCAAATTTCTCAGTATGAGGCCATTCAGCTGTGTATTTTGTATAACATAAGGTTTTGTTCATCTTTACACCATTCCTTTACAACATGAGACATCTGTCCACATTTCCACTGCATTTGTTACTACAGTAGCTAGGTGACAAATTGACCTTCATTTCTTCCTGTTAGTAATACTGTATTACAATTATATAGGGGCTAATTTTCAGGGGGGCTGAGCACCTGCAGCTCCTATACACAACTGGAGTTCTTGGTACTCACCCCCTCTAAAAATTAGGCTCACATCCCAAAGGATCCCAAAGTGCTTTATAAACTAATTTACAAACTATAAATAGGAATCACTTTGTCCACAACTGAAATCAAGCCACCTCTAAAGGAAAATACAAAAAGTACGCAATAGTGCATATGCAGCTGAATCTGCAGGTGAAATTTACTTGGCCATAAAGTGTTTTAACACAGGGGTTCTCAACCTTTTTCTTGCTGAGGCCCCCCCTCAACTTTCTATAAAAACTCCAGGGCCCAGCAGGGGTTGGGGTAAAATCAGGCCTCTGGCCCGAGGCGGGCGGGATCCTTGGGCATAGGCATAGTTTTACTTCTATTTCGGGGGGAGGGACAAGAGCTGGCGGGGCTTGAGCCAGCTCTGCACAGTGGGGTCCAGAGAGGGAGTGCCATCTCCACCCCCTGACTCACTCAGGAGGCCACCCAGCCTGTCTGGGCTGTGGGGGGGACGCAACCAAAAAATATAACTCAAAGTGGGGACTCAATTAAAAAAGTTTGAAAATCGCTCAGGGTGCAGGGAGGGGATAGCTAGTGGCTGTATGCTGGCAGGGGAGTAGCTTGGGGTGCAGGCAGCAAGGAGCTGTGTGTGGGCAGCAGGGGCTTCCCAGTGTGACTCCCAGCTTCAGCGGGGGGATCCCGGCTTTAGCAGGGGGGCCTCTGGGGATCCTGGCTTCAGCCCCCTGCGTGTAGTGGCACAAACTGCTCTGCTACACTGGCATCAGCCCCACACCGCTCCCGGCTTTGGAGTGGGGGCACTGGGTTTCAGCCGCGGAGTCCCGCGGCCCCCCCGAAAGGGCTTGCAGACACCCAGGGGGCCGCAGACTCCCGGTTGAGAACTGCTACTCTACACAGAGGTGAATTTCTTCCTAAGCGGGAAGAAGGTCACCTGCTGATTCACTAAAACAATTTAATGTAGCATCCACTTTTTTGGTGCCTCCATTCCAAGTACTGACCCAGCCTGAAAATATTTAGTTTGCAAGATTACAGCCCACGTTTGTCTTTTTTTTTTTTAATTTAATTTAATTTAATTTTCATCTAGTTTGGTAAAGTGACCATTATGTGATACATTGGGCAGGGCAAGACAGCCATTTTCAAGGTATTTGCCTTGAGTCTATGAATTCAGATTAAAGGCAAATTCATATGAAGGTTTGGGTCTTTAGACATACAGTGCTCATATTCATGATGTCTAAATTGTTAGATATGTTTGAGGGAAATGGTGCACAGAAGGTGCCAAATTCTAACAGCTATTATGTCTTAGCCCTGGTCTACACTAGGAAATTAGGTCAGCATACCTACATTACTTGGGGATGTTACAAATCCACACCCCTAAGTGACGCATTACACCAACCTAATCCCCAGTGTAGCCAGGAGAATTTTGCCATCAACCTAGTTACTGCTTCTTGGGAAGCTGGAGAATCTACACGGAGGGGAGAAGCCCTCCTATGGGCATAGGTAGTGTCTTCACTGAAGTGCTACTGTGGCACAGCTGTAACACTTTAAGTGTAGACAAGCTCTTAGATGTCCTCCCCGCCACCCAGTAAGTTCAATGGCTTGTTTTCACTCTGGTAATTATTAATTGTATTCCTAGGAATAATTTTGATTTTACAGCTAGTTAGTAGTAAGTATATATGGTAGTGTAAAAAATCTTTTATCAAAGTCCTAAATGTGATTTGCAACTTTTTCTAGTGTGCACTA